GTGGTCTAGCTGACCCAAACCACTTTGACGATAGTAGGCAGGCTTCTAGTACGCCTAAGTTCAAACCCTATACAATTCCTTCTCAATAAATAAGAAACAAAATTTTTCAATGGTTTGATGACAGGGAAAATTCCAACATAAAAAGCATTCCCCTCAAATCTAGGAGCTTTCAAGAATCAAGACCTATGTAACTTAGGTCACGAATCAACTTCTTAGTAGTTAACTTGTCAACTTTTCAGTTTACTATCCTTTTCCTCCATCCTACATCTCAACATTTAACTATTTTTATAACGTTGTTTCATATAGAGTTCAACCATTGGTTGCTTGATCCACATTTTTGAGTTTGAAATGGATTGGAGAAAATTCCCTCGTGTTATGAATTTATTTCGTCATTTGTGGTGATTGAAATTATTCTGTGAGGGGATGTGACCACACTCGTACCATATTTTCTGGATGTGCATGTCTTCCCTCTGTCCTTCACCACAACTTCTAAATATCTTTATCCAGTCCCTTTCTACAGCCAAAGCATTCGTTTCTTGTTCCCACAATTTGTTGGATTACAGACTGATTTTCTGTATTCAGTTTTCATCTTTGTGGTGACTTGGAATCTTTGTCTTCTGAAGGGGATGTGTCCACACATCATGATATCTGGATATGCTGGTGTTTAGTACTCCAGAGAATGTAGTAAAAATTTGCACTAGATGATGGTAACCATTCGTATGGTGCAGTCTCAACATCTGGTTTTATATACACATCATTTTTATCATTATTTGAGAATATTAAACGGTGCCCCTTTATTGTTGCAGATATGTCCCCTTCGATTTTCATCATGTCTGTGGTAGCTCAAAATTTGAGAACTTGCAGCTTCTATACGATAAAATTTCTGAGGATTTTGAAAATCAAGGGTAATATGGATGGAAATTCCGGATAGAATTCCTTGAATATTAAAAATTCAAAAACCAGGTATGCTGGCTATCTGTAATTCAGTTTTTAATCGTTGCTGTTCCAGCTGAGCAGATACCTCCTCATAGATCCAGAAGGAAATATACTGCAGGAGCAACGGGGAATTATTAGATCTAACTGCATCGATTGTCTGGATAGAACAAATGTTACTCAGGTTTGTGAGAAGAGGATGTACTTCACTTCAACCATTTTCTGACATGCTAAAACTTTATTCATTGTTTGGTTTCTAATGTTATTTCTCTCACTTCAACAGAGTTTCCTCGCTCAAAAATCATTAACCAAGCAATTACAGAGGATCGGAGCATTGGAATCTGATGAATGCTTTACGAAGTTCAATGAAGATTACACAAAATTTAGAACGTGTATGCCTCCTATTTCATTAGATCTATAGACCCTGAACTTAGAAGTCTGCATGGCTACATAAACCTTTCACGTCTCATCCACATTAAGTCACGCATATCTACTAAACTGTGTATTATCATCTTCCTAGTGTGGGCTGAACAAGGTGATGAGATAAGTCTCGAGTATGCTGGTACTCATGCTTTGAAAGGAGACTTAGTGAGGTGAACCTAACTCCAAATTTAATGTTGTGATGGTAAACTATTTAAATACTTCCAGTAAATGGAACTTTCGTAGTGCAGATATGGAAAGCTGACTTTTTCCGGAGTAATCAAAGATGGGATGAGTGCTATAACAAGATATTATCTCAATAACTTCCACGACGGAGTTCGGCAGGCAAGTCTTTCTAGATCTATGAATATTAGTGGTTCAACTGAATTGAGCTCCATTTCTAAAGTATATTGCTTTATCTTGTCCAGGATGCAATAGATCTTATATGTGGTCTCTACAGTATCAACAAACATGGTCCTTCACCATTCCAATTGAATGGATTTGAATCACTATCCGTTAGTATTTTCTACCCCTTTGTGTAAAGTGATAACGAGAACAAAATACAATCTTGATTGTGATCTATCCAATACCATACTTTGATTTGCTTACTATAGTGGAATTATGCGACTAATCAGGAGCATCGTTGAATTTCTGAACCAAAGTATTTTCTAAAACATATATCGAATTATTAGTTTATTTACTTAATTGTGCAGTATCTCCCAGTAGCATCAGCTTTAGTGGTTGGAGGTTTAACGATTACATCACTCACGCTTCAGCAAGGTATGAATGGTATGGTCATTATTTACTCAAGATTGTTGTTTTGCTTATTTTTAAGATGGTGAAAAATTAAAAATCTGCCCCATGATTTTCTCTTGTAGCTGGGAGGAACGCCCAGCAATTCATGTCATCTGTGCTTTGGGCTGGTGTTACTGCTGGGGTGATGGCAGTGGTCAAAGCAAATGGCAGACAGTTCTGTTCTAGGCCTCGCTTGTGCAGCCTCCGTTAAAGGTTCGATCCCCACCTTACATTCTGATTCTAGTAGGCTTTGTAAGTAGGGAGACACAAAAGCACTGCCGATTTCATGTAATTGATCCCGTACACGATGCATATAGCGTGTGCCGATGAGTACCATTTTTCCTATCTCGTGTTTTAGTTTAGAAAATGGTCAAGTTGGTTCACTGAGTTTTTTAAAAACTAAATTCGCCTTTCATAACATCTTGTTTCTTCACAATTTGTTTTCAAGCTACGTTTTATTAGTTTTAGATTTTGAATTAGATTTTAAAATAACAAACCAACGAAATTGTTGGGAACACTGATGAATTGGACTTTTTTTTTTTAATACCCTAAATTCAAATATTTAGAAATATAATGAGTTGTGAGCGTATGGTCAAAATAATTGTTAACTTTTTTTTTTTTTTTTTTTTGGTCAA